TATGCCAACATTCCAAGCATAAGAAAATGTGCAATAAAGCGGGTAAAATCAGAAAATCACTGAATTTCATTGACTTTTAACAAACTTTGCAATCTACATCATTGTTCGAGCTCCCAGGCTTCTTAAAAAAAAAATCAGACATAATATTTTTTCAGATTAGCTATGTTCCATGACCTGGCAAGTGATCGGCCTTCGACATCCTTGAGTGAGTACGCTCCTCCTGCGTGCACTCGCTCGACCAAGTATGGCCCTTCTCAATTTGGCTCCAGCTTTCCCACATTTTGAGTACATCGACACGCTTCCAGACCAAGTCACCGACCTGGAGCCTACGAATTTTCACCTTTTTTTCATGAGCGGCTCGCATCCTCTACTTGTACGCCTCCACCCTGATTGCTGCTCTCTCACGCAGCTCCTCTATAGTATCTAAGGCCACCATCATCAGGTCCTCGTTCTGTTCAGCATTATACGTGCTCGACCTCTGGGAAGATAACTTGATCTCGACCGGCAGCAATGCTTCCATTCCATAAGCTAAACTGAACGGGGTTTCTCCTTTGGTCGACCTTGGGGTTGTGCGATACGCCCAAAGCACGGAACTCAGCTCATCGACCCATGCTCCCAAGGCCTTCTCCAACTTTGTCTTCAGCCCATTCAGTATAATTCGATTGGTTACCTCGACCTGGCCGTTAGCTTGCGGATGTGCCACGGAGGCAAAGTGTTGCTCGATTTTCCTATTTTCACACCATGCTCGAATCCGCTTCCCGTTGAACTGGGTGCCGTTATCGGAAATCAACACTTTGGGTACACCAAACCGGCAGCAAATGTTATTGTATAGGAATTTAATTACTTTCTCCTCTGTAATCTTCGCTAAGGGCTCGGCCTCCACCCATTTCGTGGAATAATCGACCGCCACTATTAAGAACTTCCTCTGCCCGGTCCCCTGAGGCATCGGCCCCACCAGGTCGATACCCCACTGGGCGAATGGTATAGGAGCACTCATCGTCGTCATGGCTTCGGCCGGTTGGTGGATAAGGGGGCCGTGCTTTTGGCATTGTAAGCACTTCTTCACCATCGTCTTCGTATCTTCTCTCATCGTTGGCCAAAAATATCCTACCCTCAAAATTTTCGCGACCAAGGCCCCTGACTTACTATGGTCACTGCAACACCCTTCGTGCATCTCTCTTAGCACGTATCGACCTTCTTCCTTAGTAACACATCGCAGATGTGGTCCTCCATAGATCGTTTGTAAAGAATGCCTCCATGCTCAAAAAAACCTCCTAACCACCTTTATTGCTCCTCCAAGATCGGGGCCCTCCAATCCTCCACCTCTTCGATCTCCGCCACTTCT